CACACACACACAGGAAACGAGGCTCAGGCGGCCATCCGAGACCTGAATGGCCACAAGATCGGGGACAAGTCCCTGCGTGTGGCGGTCTCCCGGCCGCGCACCAACAACAACCTCTACGTGGCTGGCCTCGACCCGGAAACCACGCGCGAGGACCTTTTTAAGCTTTTCTCCCAGTTTGGCCAAGTGACGGATGTCAAAATTCTCGTCAGTGCGTGTCGCGATTGATGCGCATTTACTCCGGCCTCGACCGATCGCCGCCTGGCCCTCCTGCTTTTCTCCCCCACCCCCCCTGAGCAGGTACACTAATCCCCCCCCCCCTCCACACACACACACACACACCACGACCAACACTCCTGCCCCCGGCAGATCCCAACTCCGGCATCAGCCGAGGTGTTGCCTTTGTTCGCTTTGACAACGACCAGGGCGCCCGCAAGGCCATTGACAGCCTGGACGGTAGCCCCACCCGGTCGGATCGCGTGCTCACTGTGCGTGTGGCCGACTCCCCGTCGAGCAGCTCGCGCGGGCCGCAGCGGTCGGCCGGTGGCCGGGCCACCTCCGGACCGGCGGACACCATGGTCAGTCGCAATCACCCAGCCGGCACCCATCGGCACCCGGGCCAGGACCACTCCCGACATGGGACCATGGCCGGGCTGAACGGTCCGGCTGGGCCGATCCCGCATGGTGCTCTTGCCGGGGCGCCCGCCGGCCCTGGCGGTGGCCATGCGCATCCTCTGACGCACTTGCACGTGGGCCCGGGCCTGGTGGCTGCCCACCACCACCCGCATGCCCATCACCCACATCATCTTGGCCACCATCCGCATCACCCGCATCTGGCCCATCACCCGCATGCGCATTTGTCTCATGCTGGCGTGTTGCTGGCGCCGGCTGGTGCTGGGAATCCCCCGGCCGCGGTGGCCGCGCGTTTTGCGCAGGTTGTGCCGGCCGGCGCCCAGGTCCTGTTCGCTCCGCACCCGGGCGCTGGCGCTGCCGCCGCGCCCGCTGCCCCGGGGTCGCCCATGCACATGGATCACCATCCAGGCGCGAGTGGCCCATGGCCCGGTTTCCACTCCTACACCCCGGTGCACTATGGGCATATCCATGCCACCCCCCCTCAGTTCCACCAGCACTCGGGGCCAGGCGGTCCGGGGGCCGGGTCAGCCGCCGTCGCTGGGGCTGGCGCTGCCTCCAACGGGACGCCGACCGCCGTTCCCGTTCCGATGGGGCCGCACCACCGCCTGGTCCCGATGCACGCGGCTCCGGGCGCGGTCCTCGCTCCGGGGATCCCGACGGCTGCCACGGTGGCCTCGGGCGCCATGGCTGGCCAAGGTCCTGGCAATGGCAGCAACGGCAGCAGCACCAACACGGGCAGCATCTCGCATCCGAAACACTTGACGCTCTTTGTGTACGACATCCCGGCCAGCATGGACAATGACCAGCTCTTGGAGCTCTTTGGTACGCACAGTTCCCAAACGTCGGCCAGTGGCTGCGCGCCCCTCGCATGGGACCAGCGCGAGCATCTTCGCGATGGATTGACTCACCATCTCGCTGCCCATCTCCTCCTCGATCCTCGTTCCGCTCCCTCTGTCTCTCTCTCTCTCTCTCTCTCTCTCGCCGAACGGTCCGGGCGGTTACACACCTCTACAATGCCCCCACGCAGCCGCCCATGGCAAGAACATCTCGGCCCAGGTGACTCGCGACCCTGCCACCGGCAAGAGTCGTGGCTTTGGCTTTGTGTACTTCCAGAGCGTCTCCGAGGCCCAACAGGCCATCGACCAACTTGATGGTTTTGTCCTTGACACCAAGAAGCTGCAGGTTTCCTTTCGCCGCTAGGCAAGGCCGTGTGCGCATGCACATCGGGTCTGCCACTGAGGCCTCTAAATAGACATGTCAAAAGCTCCACCGTGCCCAAGTGCGTGCTTGCGCATACATACGGTATGTTTGTGTGTGTGTGTGGGGGGGGGGG